ACCTGGGGGTGGGGCTTTAGATCAAAGGCCTGGTGACCAGCCTTGGGAAAAAGTCAGTCTCAAAAACTCTAGGAAGCATAGTTCTACTGTGACACACCTGGGATCCCGTATACTGGATTAAACTAGATGGATGCCCACGTACCTGATCCAACATATATAATGTATGTATGTACGTCAACCTTGCTGGTGCAGCGGTTAAGTACTCAGCTACTAGAACCTTCTGGGTGCTGAGTAGGATAAAAGACCTGCCTAAATGCTACCATGGAGCAGTTGTGCCACACACCGCCGCTGTGAGTCAGAATTGACGTAATGGCACACAACATTGACGACGTGTGTATGTGGGGAGGGAGGGAGGGAGGAACATCCACCTCTTATTTGGAAAGTGTATGTTTTCATGTTGTCTACATCAGTTGTTTTATTTTGCTCACAAATTCAAGGAGAGAGGAATAAAACTTATAAAGCCCAATTCCTTCTGTAGGGGTTCAAATGAAAATGCAGTTCGTGCTCAGTAAGGCAGCTACCAGGTACAAATGACACCAAATGTGCTGTGATGATTCTTAGAGAAAGGGGAAAATGAGCAAGGAATTTGCCAAAAATATTGGTGTCAACAAGACCAACAACGCTAGATATTTTATTAACTTAAAAGTACAAACTTCATTAAAGAGACCTCTCCTTGGTGACACTAGGTCTTGTTTATTGCTCTTCTATATTTAGAAGATATATGAGTTAGTTATATATATAAAGACTCTTCTTTTTGATCTGTAAATTTACATTTTCAAGGTCACCTTTTCAATAACAAAAAAGTAGATATATAAATATATATTTCATGAATTTACTCTTTCAATCCATTCCTATCTAATCTCTCCCTATTTAGTAAATTTCTACATAATCACTTAATTCGGGCCTTAACTAAAGCAATAATTGATTATATTTCATAGTCTTTTAAAGTAAAGATACTATATATGTATCATTACCTTGAGTTATGCAAACTCTGAGTCTCTATGAAACAATGAAAATACCTACTTCTAGAATAAGTCTCATTATTCTCAGCAACTGGCTTCACAGGACTTTGCTTTCTAAGGCTATTAATATAAATCAAATTACTTGTATATTTATTATACTGACAATGATAGACTCCATGTTTCTTCCAGAAATTGTCTAAACTCTTAGGATTCGTTATGAAACCACCAACAGGATTCTATTTAGTTGGATTTTCTTGGGACACTTGAATTGTCTACCATTCAACCTGGACATTTTTAAAAGTTGGCTCAAAAACATGTCTTCATTCATGTTTAGAATTTAATATAGAACCTCCCCTGACCTTCCATTAGCTTTTCTGTCATCTCTACTTTTAAAATAAAATTGTGGTTATTGCTAAGCTGCATAAATAAACAAAAGCTGACTGCAATCAAGTCAGCTCCAACTCTCAGTGACCCTGTAGGAGCGAGAACTGCCCACTGGATTTCTAAGACTAACTCTTGATGGGACTGGAAAGCCTCATTTTCCCATGGAGCAGCTGGTAGTTTTGAACTGCTGACCTTGCGATTATCTGCCCAAAGCATTGTACAATTCCAAACATAGGAAGTATGACTACTGCCCCCATGAAAACATGTTACAGACTGTAGTGCATGTACGCATGAGACCTCTACTTTTTTCTGATTCCCTTCTTTCCCTTCTTTGTACTAATTGAAACTCGTCGTAAGCAAGGCTCAGGGTGAACTAAATATGAGCGCCAAGAAAAATCCTACGTTTTGGTCCAATCCATTCCATAGTGCGGTAAAATGAGTCAATTGTCTTCATTTGTATGCGCCCATCATACAGAAGAATATAAAGTCATTTAGGAAAAAGAAATGAAGACATTAGATTTTGTTAGTAGAGCAAGATAATGGACATACCGGCATCTCTTAACCGGACCAATAGGTAACATCATGATAAATGGAGAAAACGTCGAATGTATCAAAGATTTTTGTCTTGCATGAATCAATCCACAATCGATGCTCAAAGAAGCAGCAGTCACAAGAGCACAAGACGAGGGTTAGGAGATAAATCTGCTGCATAAGACTCCTTTAAGCGTATTGAAAAGCAGGAATGTTACTCTGAGGACTAAGGTGCACCTAACCCAAGCCATGGTATTTTCAGTCGCCTCACATGCATGTGAAAGTTGGGCCTTGAATAAAGAAGGCCAAGGAAACACTGATGGGCTTGAATGTGGTGCTGGAGCACAGTATTGAAAGTACCACGGACTGCTACAAGGACGAACTGATTGGTCGTGGGAGGACAGCCAGAGTAGAGGCAAGGATGGCAAGATCTCATCTTACACACACGTTTGGTGACGTAGAGGGGCAGCAAAAACGAGGAAGGCCCTTGAGGAGGTGGACGGACACAGTGGCTGCAACAGTGGGCTCAGGCGCAGGAACAAATGTGAGGATGGTGCCTGCCCAGGCCGTCTCCTTCTGTTGTGTGTAGGGGCGCTGTGAGTTAGAACCAACAGCAGCAACAAAACACCTGGAGAGTCAAGACTTTGCCATGTTTTAAAACATAGTTTTAAAGAGTCTTTAAAGGAACTTGCGTGACCAATAAGAGTCCGTAACTAAGCTATCTTGAGATAATTTGTCCATTTTTTTGTCTAGAGCAATGGAGATTAGATAATGAGTCATCTTATAAACCCCTTCACTTTATACTATTCTGAAACTATATATTCCATCAGATATAATTATTCTAGTTTATTTTAAATCTATACAGGCTTGGGCGGAAAAAAGATTTCCTTTATACCCTAGACTTTTCTTCTAGCCCTCACAGTTAGTAAGTAAAATTTTAAAGGAAGCAAACCAACACCAGGTGACAAATATAATACCCCAACTACTGTCTTCATTCCACTTGGGCAAAACTCAACCCCTCACAGTCTTCCTCTGGAGCACTGTAAGACGGATGAAGAGATGCTTTGTGCTCAACGTGAGAGGATGGCCTAAAGTACTGAGCTAGGCTAATCTCCATCTCTACACAGGTGAAACCTGGAGATCTCTTTGTCAGGGTAGAGCTGTATTATACATTTTCAGCTTCTTCCTTCTTAGGACTTGTTGCTAACCATCTGGTGCGTTCTTGAAGTTGAGTGCTTTAATATTGTCGCCCGCTAAGTAACCGCCCGTGGGCTCCGTTTCTTGTTTCCCCTTGCAGCGGAATAACAAGTCTCGTTGGCTTATTTTTGTGAAATCCCACAGAGCATGTGTGTGGTGTGTGGAGTGGTGTGGAGATCTGTCTGTTTAGTCCGTGGCTAATCTCTATGCCACATCCTTCAGGGAGAGGAAGCCAAACGCATTCCTGGCGAGTCGGTCACAGAAGAACAGTTTACCGATGAAGACGGCACCCTCGTCACCAGAAAAGTAATAATCACTGCGATTTCATGCTTCTCTGGAATATAGGCTTGCTGCAGCCAAACAAACAACCCACCCCTGGCTCATTGTTGACTGTAGTGTTGCCTTTTGAAACTGACAAAAAGACAAATCTCTACTTTTCACTGTTGCTCCCTGCAGATCACTCGGACAGTAATAAAACGGCTTGTTATCCCCCAAGAGAGAGAACATGAGGACGTGGTAATGGAGAGGGCTTGCCCAGGAGGAAGTGGAGGAGAAAAGCTTTGGGAACTCTAGAAAATGCTGCTAAATGGCTGGCCTTGGCAGTGTGGCAGCCTGACTTGTGTGCTGCTTGGACATTTGATGTGTGTGCATTTGATGAAGGGCAAAGAAAAAGACTTTTCTTCTTGGCAATTTTGAATGAGATTTCTAAAAGTGTCTGCAGTCCTCACAGAGATGTGTCCATTCACAGTTAGGGGGAGGAAAGAGAAAAACTTTCCTCCATCACCAACTCCTTTGGTAGCACCATCCGCCTCCAAATGCTTGTGTTCAAATGCCTGGGTGCTGCTCCCAACACTAGAATACAGCAACTAAAGTACAAAATTTTAAAAGCAAGCCAACTCACTGCTGAGTATATTCTGACTAGTGACTCTGTAGGACAGCATAGAACAGCCCCGTGGGTTTCCCAGACTGGAACTCTTGATGGGAGCAGAAAGCCATCAGCCCAACACATGACCACGACCCACCAGGGCTCTGCAAGGTAGAGCAATGCATGGGCGCCAATGTTTGGACGGTGATGAATTCAGTCCATATATTCCGTGGGGGGTGGGGGTGGGGGTCTGATTTCACCCATCAATCTCGGGTTTCTAACCACGCTGTGGTGGGAACCAGACTCCTCACTGAGCAGTGTCCCTTAGGAAATGAATTCACACCTTTAGGTATGATTCATTTGTTCTTTGCTGCTCTCAAACTGAGCAACATCAGCAGGGCACGGAAAATGAGCTCACAAGGACTAAGGCAGAGAAGTGGACCATTACAGGGCTGTCTAGTACAGTAGGGTGACAGGTGATTTTTACAACTGCCCCTTACAGCCTGTGAGCAGCAGTCTGATGTGATAGGAAACGGATTCCTGGCTTCGTCTGGGGGTGAGCGTTGAAAATTCCAAACTAAAAAGTCCTGCAGATCAACTGTGCTTCCATGGTATTTAATTCTCAAATAGTGCTTGACTGAGACATTTGTCTTAGGATAACAAACCACTTGACAAGGTCCCCTGGCTCAAAGGGTGTCAGTTATAACATACCACTTTGGGGGCTGGCGTGCAAGGGGGCTTGTGTGCCTTGTGAGCTTCGGTGGTGGTTTCTTCTGGTTTGTTGTGGCAAATGGACAAGCTGCTCTTTTTCTTCACTAACCTACTGTATCGTTTGGAGCACAGTGACAGCGTGTTCACTTCGACAGTGCTCCCTAGCTTGCCTGGATGCTACGCTGTATGGCTGAGACCAATAGATTGTGTACAGTTCTGAATGTGAAGTGCCAGTTATTGTAAACTGCTTTATACTTACCCAAAGCCAGCCTCAAGGGACCAGAATGGGAACTGCTTTTTACTTAAAACTCTTTCTCCACGAAATCTTAATGCATGCATTTCTTTTAAAGCAGGGAGAAGGTTATAAGGTGAAGACGAAGAAAGAGATCCGGCACGTGGAAAAGAAGAGCCACTCCTAACATTGAACTGCCCCATCCGTCAAGGTGGTAAGTATGCTCATAGCAACACAGATTCGATTCCAGTGAAACGTCTAAGGTACCACCAAATACGCAGTTCAGATCTTGCCTTCACGGAATTCCCACTTTGAAAATTCAATGTCAACTTGCTAGAGTTCTTTGTATGTTTACGTGTGTGGTGGGCTGCTAACCCCAAGGTCAGTAGTTCAAAAGCACCAGCTCCTCCGAGGGAGAGAGGCGAGACTTTCTGCTCCCAAAGAGTCTTGAAAGCCCACAGGAATGGTTAAACCCTCTCCTACTAGGCTCACTATGCATCAGCATCAGCTCTTTGATAGCGAGTTGATCTGGTTTGGGTATGTGTACATACAGACACTGAAAACTTGGCCTCTAGTTAAGCCCATAAACTCTCCTCACAAATGAGTCCAGAATGTAAATGATATTTGTGGAAGCACCCGTACATAGAGCTTTTGAAATCTCCGCTCGTCTAAGAGCCAGGGAACATTAGGAAATGCAGTAGCCTTGTGCAATCTGACAGGAAGACTATTTGGGAGCAGACACTGCTGCCTAGCACCCTATGCTCCTGATGCAGCCTTTCTTTCACATTGCAGGAGAAAAACATCTGAGGGTATGATTTCCACTGCAGTGCAGTGGTTGCCAAGTTTAAGTTAAATTTAAATATGCTGTTTTATATATCTTCTGTAAACCACAGCAATTTAAATGAGAGATTGATGCTACTGTTTTTCCTCATTAAATGCTCATAAGCTTTGCTTAAACTATTTCTAGAATTTTCTTTGGAGACCAGGGCCTTTCTCTTCAGTGTTGTGTTCTAGATTTTACCATGCCCCGTTTGTCTCTCCACAATTAAAACTGGGCCATCTGGAATGAGAAAGCAGAGTTGGGAAAAGTCCCGCAGGTGGCTGCCTAAAGAGTAGGGTCATTCCTATGGGGGTTCTTGTTCACCAATAATCCTCTGGTTAGTTGGGCCAAGCCAGATTGAAACCAGATTTTAGTTTTCACTTTGACACATAATCCTGGTATTTGGAATCCTGAAGGAAAGAAACCATTTCGTGTCTTTGGTTCTAATTTTACAGATGAGGCCCAGATGAATTCTTCAGTAAATAATTCTAGCATGGGCTTGCCGCCACGAGTGTATGTTTGGGAAATTTGATGGTGACCAAATCACAGTCCAGCAATTTAGTGGCATTGTGAACGCTACGAAGAATTGCAGAGTGTTCTAGAAAAGTCACATTTTCGCTATCCGCTCTTGTGGGTGCTGTGGGTGAGGTGTCGGGCTGCCAACTACAAAGTCGGTGGTTAAACCCACCAGCCGCTTCAGCTTCGTGGGAGGACGAGTCTGTCTGCTCCCAGAAAGGTGGAATGTGATGGTGTTTGAGGCAGCTTTCCGGGCCTGAGTAGTTAGCAGCCTTGTGCAATGGTTAGAAAATGGGAAGAAACCGGAAAGAAGGCGCGCTGAGAAGAGGCCACTGTGACGGGCTGGAAAGGCTGCTACTGTGCCTGGGAGGTGGAAGGCCAGAACATCCTCTCTGTACAGATGTGGCCTCTGCCCTGGGAAATCCTGAAGGCCTGTCGGCCAGGGTGGACTATGATACACATTAGGTTCTGCGTCACTCAATTCATAAGTGCCGGGTACAGAATGAGCTTGGTCGGCAAAGTTGGAGGAAAATGTAGACCAAAATTGAAAATCATAAAAAAGGCTAGGCTTACTGGTCAGGTAAACACTGGCGGAATCCCTCTGCCTATGGTCATTAACCATCCTCTCCATCAGGAATGTACCCTCTTGGCTCAATTTTCAGCGTCACACGAGACAAATTGATTCAGAAAGCATTCATGCTATTGAGGCACAGCCACCGTAGCATAATCAACCATTTGAGATACTAAGGGCAGCTCAGAAGGGTTGGGACAGAAGGCGGAATGAATCAGAAAACAAAGGGGGAAAGTGGGGTATATGGTGTTACATTGTAGAGTCTGCAGTGAAATGGAATGTGTAGGAATTGTTGAATGGAAAACTGATTTCTCTATAAGCCTTCATCCATTCACAATGAAGAGTTTTTACAAAGAATAGCTGAGCAGAAACCATTTTTAAGAGATTGATGAGGACGAGGAGAGGTAGACTGAATCGGGAGACAGTGACACACTTGTTATTAAATAAAAAGGATTAGCAATGAGAGCATTAATGCTAAGTCTCTCCCAAAAAATTCAATGCCAACAAGTGGATGCTGACACACAGCAACCGGTGAGGGCAGGTAGACCTGCCCCTGCGAGGTTCCGAGACTGCCCCTTTACTGTCCGCGGAGTGCTCTGGTGGGTCCGCCCAACACGGCAACCCCTATGCCGCCAGAACTCCTTAACTTCAGTCTACGATATGTAACATGAACGCTCCTTTCACGAATGCCCACTTGCATAATCTAGTGGGAAACTTGCACAGAGAGCCGAGTAAGAAGACATGAAGCACGGTTTCGCTGTCTTACATTAGTCTAGGTAACTATTTTAAGGGAGAAATGGAGTGAAACTAGAGAAGAATTTAGTGGGCTGTGGTCTGCCACGTAGACGTGATGGCCTTTTCCAGGAACTGGTCCTGGTCTGCCTGAGAAGGCTGCTGTATGTTGGAATTGATGCCATGACAGTGGAATGAGCTATGGTGGCTCAGTGGGGTAAGCATTGGACTGTTAACTACAAGCCTGACAATTCAAGCCCACCAGCTATATTGAGGGAGAAACACCAGGCTGTCTGCTCCCCAAAAGATTTCGTCTCTGAAACCCTATGGAGCAGTTCCGCTCTGCCTTGTAGGGTGACTCTGAGTTGAAACTGACTTCCCGGCAGTGGGTAAGAGTATTGGAATAGAAAAATGGTCTCACTACTAAATATACGAGAAACTTTAAAATGATAATCCTATTCATGAGAAATTTGTTCACACTGTTCAATGGAGAGTAAAAGTTGATGGAATAATTTATTTGAATGTATAAATAACTTGATCATAAAGTATAATTGATAACGTGTCCAAAGGAAGGAATGGTGATTTGACTGCTAGTCTCATTTTACCTTGCAGAATTTTACCTTCTATAAGTGAACTTAGGAAATGCGTTCATGAAGATAGCCTGGAATTCAAGTACAATGAATATGTTTTCTGAAAAATTCAATTTGCAAACATTGAGATATTTTTTTTGTCTGCACACTACTCTCTTGGTTAGCTGGTTGGTTGGTTTTGTTTTTAAGATAAAAACTAAGCAGGTGGAATGCTGCAAAGTTTCTTTGACTCTCACATAGTGACATCAAAATATTGACTTCCCATTTTAGAACCAATTGTATTTTGAGCTATTGGAACCCTGCACCTGATTTTCCTTAATACTGAGGCATAGCCATCCTATTTTTAATGAGTGGGAAAAGCCAATAGCTTCAAATAATAAAGATTTTCATAGTAAATATACATAGCATATACTTGTATGTGTTTGTTGTCCCACTGCGCCCCGGGCAGTGAAGAAGAGGAACACTTCCAACAAGACGGATTGACCCAGTGGCTGCATGAGTGGGCTCAAACATGAGAACAGTTGTGAGGATGGCCCAGGATCAGGCAGTGTTTCGTTCTCTGAATTAGAGCCAACTCCAGGGCACCAACAACAACATACTTAAATGTTAATAGTTTACAAAATACTTTTGCTCTCTTGCCTTATTTACTCCTTCAAACAAGCCTGGAGACAGGTTTGGCCAATTTTGTTTGCCGTCTTTGAAAAGGTGAGGATCCTACTAAGGTCAGGGGATCCACCTACTCACGCAGTGTACGCTAGAGCTAGGACTCGATGCCAAGATTATTGATGCTCAGCCTGGTGTTCCTTCCCGTGGCCTGAGCTGCCCTGCTAAAATCATCTACTAGCTCAAACTCCCTGCCATCGCGTGGATTCTGACTGGTAGTGACCGGCTAGGAGAGAGTAGAACTGCCTCTGGGTTTCCAAGATTGTAACTCTTTACGGGAGTGCAAAGCCTCATCTTTCTCCCTCAGAGCAGCTGATGGTTTTGAACAGCTGACCTTATAGTTAGCAGCCCAATGCATAACTACCACACCAATAGGGCCCACAATAGTAATAAATTCATCAAATGAATAATGTGTACCAGGCCCTACGTAAGGTCTGTAGATACATGATCTCATGTAATCCCCCAAGCAAAACTCTTAGGTAAGTACTATTATTCCTTTATATACATATGTGTGTATACACATATTAATAGTGCTATGCATCCACACACATATAAAGGAATAACATATATATATACACATACATATGAATAATAGTACTATGTGTGTGTGTGTATATATATAGTACTATTATAGGTGTGTGTATTTGATTTTTTGCAAATGTATGTATTATAGATAGCATAGTAAATATTTTATATATACTGTAAATATGTAAATATAAGGTAATGAAATATTTTCATAAATTGTGTTATAAATATATATCTACATATATATAAAAGGCTTATAAAAGTTAAATGAAGAAAAGAGTTAAATGACTTGCCTAAAGGCAGCAAAAAAAAGCCAATTTTAGCTCATCAAGAACCCAAATTCTGAATTATTACTACTTATTTTAATAGTTACATTATCCTTGATGATTAATAGAAACTTAAAAGCAGACTTTGACTCAAGTGCATGTGCAAAGACAACCCCAAATAAAGTCAGTTTCTTTTTAGTCCGCACCGTGAAAATACATTCTTTTTTCAAAACAAAATAAAATTTCAATGGCAAAGTATCCCCTACCCCCAGTCGTTTACCTCCACTGCCATTAGTGCGCTGCTTGGTGTGCTCAGGACAAAGGATGGCCCCAGTAGAAGTCCTGACAAAGACTTTGGATGGTCGAGCTCTCCCTTCTGTGTATTTTGCTCGTTGGGAAAAATGCTTAAGATCGCACAGCCAAATGGAGAACGAGAAGGACCAGAATGCCCGTGCTTGCCAGGAGAAACACTTTCTCCAGAGCCAAACGTTGATTTCATTTCATTCATTTCTTCAAAAGGCATTTGACTTC